GTAAATACAAACTAGAAATGTTGGTGATCTATCAATTAACAAGAATCTACCGTACAGTAAATGAAATTTTGAACTACATACAAAAATTACAGTTTTGTAGGTGTCAAAGTGATGTGGACCCTTAAAGTAGTAACGAACATAGGGAACTGTCATTGAGATGCAGTACATAGCTCTTCTATGGTTAAGAGTCCATCGACACCTCCTTCATTGCAATTGAGAATTTGGCAGCTGTGAGCCACTGATTGCCCACTGATTGAGTCATTGTACAATCAGTGGGTATTGCTCACTACAGCATATTATAAAAAAACAAGAGTTCTACGAATTCATACCTTCGCCAAGTGGTGTTAACATTTTTGAACTGACATTTTAGAAAGGGATGTAATGGTAAGGTGTTGACTTTACATAAATTATAGCTTTTCAGCCCATATTACAGACATATATATTATAAGGTTATTATCAATCTTTCAAAGAAGACTATCAGAATGCAAAGGACACAGTTTGTATACTAGTAAATGAAGCTATGTTAAGCTATAAATGCTGAATTGAAGCAGTCAACGCAGCCGATGATGAAATCATTTTCAAAATGTGGAAACGATTTAATATTATAACTTGCATAAATAGTGATAAGAATAGTGTCATAGACAACCAAAACATATATTTGCTATTTATTGCACTTCTGAATAAGATTAGGAGAGTAGACAGTAAACTTATATTCCTTAAGATGGCCAATTATATAATCATTCAATGATACACCGTACACTACAGATATTTAACCTGGTAGTATTGGTTACTTGTTACTACCATGTTACATACGAAATACGGTAGATGATTTTACAGTGTAATCTGTATAAAAAATCTGTATAAAATTATTTAGTTACAATTCCTACGTTTAAAATAAATACGTTTTATAACCCACACATTCTACGAGTGTGGAAGGCCAACATGGATATTCAATATATCCTAGACGCATATGCCCGTATTATGTACATCACGAGCTATATGCTGAAGTTTTCCTGACGCTATCTGCCGCAGATATGCAATGGCCTGAAGTCATTGGAAGTATTGCCCGTCAGTATGGCAAATTTCTGACAGCTGACGATGTGACAAACATGAACTATGAAGAAAAATGCAGTTGGTTACGCCGTAATCCTGTGACTGCTGCTCGGCAATTCAGCTACCGGCTCAATGCCTTTTTCAAGGAGTTCATTGGAGGAAAGGGAAAGCCGATTGGACACCTCCAAGACTAATCATTGAAGGTGAAATGTTTTATGGGGTTATTGTTACAGTGACCAAGTCATGGTCTGAGAAGTATGTGTCCATAACGGTAACATGTCTACCATGCTGTTCTTGGTCACGGATGTATATATGATCGAGGAGCGTGCCATAGTCAGTGGTAGGCGTTTGAACCTCTTGTGTAAAGCCGTACTGTTGCATTACAGCTAATATTTTAGGTTGGGGACAATCTAAGATGTTGAAGTCGACTTTTCTTAACAACAGGGAGGTAGCAGCTCAGAAAGCCGCTTCAGGGTACTTTCATTGCCACTAAAAAAGTCTAAAACATAATAAATCTGTTTTATACAAATTATAGAATCAAACTATATACATATACAAAATTACAATTCCAATAAAATAAAATGACATCAATTCAAATATATATATATATATAAGATACACATGAGAATTATTTTTGCTGTTTGTTATTCAGCTGTGGGTGGCTGACATATATTGGCTGTTAACGTGCGTCACACACATGTTGCATAGATGTCGCCTGATCATTGAAGGTGAAATGTTTTATGGGGTTATTGTTACAGTGACCAAGTCATGGTCTGAGAAGTATGTGTCCATAACGGTAACATGTCTACCATGCTGTTCTTGGTCACGGATGTATACATGATCGAGGAGCGTGCCATAGTCAGTGGTAGGCGTTTGAACCTCTTGTGTAAAGCCGTACTGTTGCATTACAGCCAATATTTTAGGTTGGGGACAATCTAAGATGTTGAAGTTGAAGTCTCCAAGGATAACAGTCATGGTGTCATGTGGAAGTTGATCTATGAGTCTGTGGAGCATACTGATGAACAGCCCTTCTGGCATTGTCTGTGGTCTGTAGATGTTGATGATGTTGACATTGGTGGATAGTTTGGTGACTGTTATTG